ATAAGGTAAGGGAGGGGGGTTTAGCTTATTTAGGCCACCTGTGGCCCAAATAAGGTAAGGGAGGGGGGTTTAGCTTATTTAGGCCATATGTGGCCTAAATAAGGTCACCCTTTTTTTAAAGTGATTTAAATCACTGAGTTTTATTTTTAAAATCAACTGATTTAAATCGACCTGATTTAAATCAACCCAACCCTGATTTCAATTTTATGGGGGAAAAAGTCAATTGAATACTGTATTATTTTACAGTGACAGGGGGGAAAGCAGACTTTTAAGTATGATTATATTAGTCTACTAAACCATATCTGTTTAATAAAACCAAGGAAAGGAATTCTGAATGTTCAAATATGTAAAAACTTAATACATTTTTTAAAAAGTGATTTAAATCGCTGATTTTTATTTTAAAAATCAAGTTGATTAAAATATTTTAAAAATCAACTGATTTAAATCAACCCAGCTCTGATTTCAATTATGGAAAAAAAGTAAATTGAATACTGTATTATTTTACAGTGAAAGGAGGGAAAGCAGACTTTTAAAAGCATGAATATATTAGTCTACTAAACCTTTTATCTGTTTAGTTTTATGAAACCAAGGAAAGGAATTCTGAATGTTGAAATATGTAAAAACTGAATAAAATTTTATTTTTTTTAAAGTGATTTAAATCACTGATTTTTATTTTAAAAATCAAGTTGATTTAAATGTAAAAAATCAACTGATTTAAATCAACCCAACCCTGTGCAATAATGCTACGCTGAAAATCATCCATGCCGGTCACCTGTCCCGAGAAGTCCGTTGCAGTCACTAGCTCCTGGCTGGGTGGCCAGATGAAGTATTTTGTACTGCTAACTGTGCGACTGCAAGGTGTTAAGTGTCGAAGGGAGATATGCAGTTTTCTGTGGTAGGCCCACTCTTCAGCTCTTTTAGTTGGGATGTTGTAATTTTTCAGGGTTGCCTTGACTCCCTCAATCCATGACTTGTGCAGCCTACTGTTCCTTGTAACCTGTGTCCTGAGTACAGTGGAATCCTGTTATAACGAGATGAAGGGGACCGGAGCAAACTGTCCGCTATAGCAGGATTCTCGCTATATAAGGGATCCAGTAATAAATTCAAGGGAAACTGTAAAGTAGACCTAATCTATGAGTTTGGTGTTCTGTTTATTCCCTTTTGCTATCTCCCCTGATGACGATTTTATTTCAACATGACCTCTAGGTCTTACTTGATCAAAAATCGAATCAGGTTTCTTTCTCTAGCGCTAGATCTAGCGATGTTGACTGGCAGCTCGGCGTTGGCGATCAGAAAAAAGGGCTCTGGGCTAACTCGCCTGCTGTTTTTTCCCCCACCCCACCCCACCACACCCTGTGGTGCATTCCGTAAGCTTGCGCACGTCACACATTCGCTCCATCGATCAAATAACTGTGACCCCTCCAACGGAGAAGTGTGAGACATGGTAGTCCTTGATAATCTAAACTAGGCTTAGGCCCTACGCTGGCCTATCACACAATGCGTTGGGCTTGTCTGCGCATGTTATACCCTCCCTACTCAGTCACTCCGGCCTTCATTGTTGACACACATGGGCTCTCCCATTCTTTGTTTCGCTAGATTACCAACAAGTTTCTCAACTGGCGAGGTTTTACATTATGTATAATTCATTAATTGGCCTATACGCTGTGCACAGCAGCAGGAATATCC